ATTTTTATAATTAATTATTTTTATAGTAAATTATTATTTATATATACAGTTATTTTTTACTATTAAAACAAGCTTGGAAGCAGGAGTAGCATCCACTTCTGAAATGGCTTGCCTCCAAAAACTCTATGAACAGTGTTCAGGTCTTTCGTTCATAGGGTTGCTATGAGTCGTCTACTACTCGACAGCACCTAACAACAACAACAACTCTATAGTCACGTGCCTTTTCATAGTCAACCAAACACAAATAAACATCTTTCTGCTTTCTCTTCTTTTAGTCTAGATCCATCTAACATTAGCAAAGATATCCCTTATTTCATGGCTTCTTCTGAATCTAGTTTGAACGTATGAAAGTTCTCTGTCAATGTCCCACCCTTTTTCAATAATCTTCAACAAAATTTGACTTGTGTGTGATATGAATGATATTGTTTGGTTTTAATGCTCTTGGATTATATTTTTGAAATGGGAACAAATATGGATCTCTTCCTATCAAGTGATCAGGTAGCAATTCTTCCAAATTTCCTGGCACAGTGAGCTGCAACTGGTATTCTCTCAGTTCTTGGAGCCTTATTTTTTGCCATTGATTTCAGTACAGCTTGAATTTTTGCCATCGATTCTTGATCATATGCTGTTTCCTAAAATGGTTCAGTAACTCTGTGTATTTCTTCTACTTTCTTTTAATGCCTCCTGCATCATTCAATTTTTTTCCGTAGAAACTTTTCTTATTGCAACTTGAGGCTTAAATTTGTTCTTCATTTCTTTAAGCTTGAGAAGTACTGAGAATGTTCTTCCCTTTTGGTTTTCTAACTCTAGTTCTTTGCGCATTTCAATACAACACTTAGCTTTGTTTTCTCAAGCTCCTCTTTGGAATCTTCTATTCTGATCTGTCCAGTATTTCTTCCTTTGTGTTGCTTTCTTTCCAGTCTAGTGTGAGTTTTAGAACATATAGAACTATAAACTATTAAATGCATACTGTCACTTAGCAAAAAAGCCCTGTTGCTCCATGATTTCTGCTAGCCTGCCTAGGATGAAGCAACACACTGGCTTCTTTATCCAAATCTCTAAGTTTTTAGAAAGTCTGATGTTTTTCTTTAGCTCCTGAGTGTTCTTTGATATTTGCCACTGTTGTAAGACTTCTCTTTTCACAGTCTCTTGGTGTGGCTCTCTTCTACCTCTTTAACTGTTCTCTTCAGCTTATTTATGGATCTTTGACTTGGCTTCTCTATCAGTTGTTCTCTTACGTCTTTTCTTTCTCAGAGGATCCATCCATATCTTCTTTTTTTATACCACCACCTATTTATACACTTGGAGATGTCTATCTTTCTGCTTTACTCAGTATCTCTCTTGAGATCACACCTTAATATTCAGCTGTGTACCCTGTTTGGTTGTTTCAGCCAATCACTTGTCAAGATTTGTTGAGTTTACTTCTAATACCTCTCAAAATATTTACTCATCACCTTCACCACAGCTCAAATTCAAGATGTCTTCTCATTTTACTTGTACCACTGAAATGAGCACAGATTGAATCATCATCGGCTTGTGGACATTCCATTTTTTATTTTATTTGCCTTTCAACTACCTTTCTTACCCAAAACAGGACTACATCATTTCAGAGCCCAGTCCAGAAGGAGAATGAAACTCTCATTACAGAATTATTGAGAGTTTTAAACATAGTGGCGGCAGATCACTAAACCAAGCATGAACCCTTTTAAGCACAACCAAACTGGTGGTCAGGAGTCTAGTTTTAGACCTGAGAAGATCTTCAGGCTGTATTTGATCAAGCTGGTAAATACTATTTTCAGTAGCCATTTCTTCTAAATGTTTTTCTAAAAACCCTAGCCACTTAATATCCTATTCTGAGAGAAGTTCAAGGGCTCAGAATATGAATTTACCTAAGGAAGCCAAGGTTTTCCAGCCTCACAAGAGTAAGTGTCCACTGCAAAGCTTACCTTGATGTAGTCATAGGGACATGATACCTCAGGATGGTCTTCAATATCAAAAATGTCCTCAAATTGCAAGCTGATCATGAAACCTTCCTCCAGTGAGATCATGTAGAAACATTCTGAGCTCTTGGGGTAAGGGCTGGGGAAGTCTGGGCTGGTGATTACTCCCGTCCTCTGGGTAAAGAGGTTGTCACTGCACTCCACTGTGGGAAACATAACAGAACAAAATGGAACTCCACAGTCACACCTGTTGCATCTTCCATTGTGTTTGATTTCTGATAAGGTCTCAGGAGGTCAGCAGGGAAGGAATCATTATCCTATTTTATAGATGTGTAAAGCGGAAACTTGGCAAGGGGAGGTGATTCATTCAAAGTCACATACACCAGTCATTTTCAGAACCAAGACTCAAACCCAGTCTTCCTAGCTTTCTATCCTTGATTCTTTAACTCTTTGTGATTACAATACTTAGCAGATTCTCTGATACTAGCTGGGATGGAGGCATGTGAAAGGAAGCTCATATGGTGGGAGAGTTGAGACAAAATGATGAAGGGAAATGCCTTGGCGTTTTTTGTCTAGACAATATCTTGTTATTGTTGGAGCCTTTTCACTGGTTCTAACTCACAGTGACACTGCTAGGACAGAATTAAACACTATCTGGTATTGCATCACCATCAGAATTGTTGGATGCCCAAGCCCATTGTTATAGCCGATAAGTTGCTGCATATCATTGAGAGTCCTCTTCTTATTTTATTGACACTGTACTATACTAAGCACAATATTCATTTCCCTGGACTGATCTCTTCCTCTTAGTAACATATCCAAAATGATTGAGTTGAAAACTCACCATCCTTACTTCTAAGAAGCACTTTACTTCTACTTCATCAAAGACAGATTTGTTGGGGTTTTTTTTGGCAGCCTGTTGTATATCCAATATTATTTGCCAACACCACAAAGCAAAGTCATAGATTATTTTTCAGCTTTCCTTATTCATCATCCAGATTTCACACGCATATGAACAAACTGAAAACACCATGACTTGGGACAGGTTCACCTTAGTTCTCACAGAGACATCTTTGCTCTTTAATGCTTTCAAGAAACTTTGCAGTAGAGTTGCCAATGCAATATGTAATCCATAGCCATCAACGTACATATTACATACCTGATATTCAACAGTTACAGAGTAAAACCAAAATAAAATAGAATTTGTTTCAATAAAATGCCTATGTGGGCCTGTTGTTTTTTGCTTTAAGGTGATTTTACTGAGAAGTAACTAATAGCTTCTGAAGGAGGGAAAGAAAGAACTTTTTACATCCAGCCTTGCTTTTATCCAGCTTTTATACCTAGACTTTTTTATTCAGATCCTTCAAGGATTTCTCAATCAGCATACAAGTGATCTTTCTAAATCAAATTTCCTTACTCCTGACCTACAGTAAGCTTCAGGTATTTCCAAGCATTGTACATTCAACCATGCTTCTAAATGTCTGTGGAGTTACTCTCTGTTAATAGAATGCCCTCTATCCCCTTCTCCATTCATTTCCTTCAAGGGTGCCATCCCTGGGTAGCATGCGTTGCCCTCCCAGACAGAACTACTGCAAGTATGTTGTTTATGTTTGCTTTATAATATTCACAGCATTTCAGCACCTTGTGGAGAACCTCATGGCAAGTATCTTTATCTTTTCATTTTTCCATTCCTTGTCCCAGATCAGTGACTAAAACATAGTAAGTATGTAGAGAAAAAAAAGTATGTAGAAAACAAAGAGGGAGGGATGGGACCTTGCTGTATCTATATTTACTTCTCTAGAATCTCTTCCTTATTTTGGACTGAGATAATGGGGATGTAAGGAAAAATGGAAGAAAAGAGAAAAAAATAACTACTCAGTGAAGCCCACTTCACGGCTTAGGGAAAGATTACTGGAAAAATCCTACTTTTTCCTTAATTTGATTAGGCTGAAAACATATACCAAGAGAGAGACAAGGGCATGGAGCAAGAATGTCATCCAGGAATAAAGATGGTCTAATTGGCCAGAGATTTGCTCATGCTGATTTTTTAACAAACTTAGCTCAGGGTTTCAAAGAGGTAGTCTGTCTAGTATTTTAGTCCTATGGTGTCTCAGATACACTCTTATAAGTTTTAATTTAATTATTGATATTGCACATGTCTTTAATTTAAGCCTTTTAAAATCTGCTTTGGAAGATGTTCACTTGAGGGCTTACCTCTGCAGGTTCTGTTGTCTGTGTGGAGTAGGTAGCCAAATCGGCAGGAACAATAGTATCCTCCAATGTAATTATGGCAATAGTGGTCACAGGTCAGCTCCTCATCCTCCTGGTCAGTACATTCGTCTACATCTGTAGGGCAAGTAGAACCTCTGTCAATCATACGAGTGTGTGATCTTGGTAAAATCAGACAACAGTTGTAGACACTGAATGTGGGCTGGTCACTGTATTGGGAGCAGTGCAATTCTCTTGTGAAGTCCTAACATAAACCTCAGAGGTAGCTTACCTTTATCTTGTGGTGTTTGAGTATTTTATAAATTCTAGATATAAGTCCCTTGTCAGATATGTCATTACCAAATATTTTTTCCCAGTCTGTGGCTTCCCTTTTTACCCTGTTGGAGAAGTTTTTCGATGTGCCTAAGGATTTGATTCTTAGAAGATCCCTTTCATCTATTTTATCCTCTCCTGGTTGTAGTTTTTTCAGGATGCTTGGAAGACTTTTTAAGTTGTGGATTAGGGCTTCTAGAGCTTTTCCAAGCTTTTCTCTAACGAAGTTTATAGTCCTTAGATTTAGTTCTAGGTCCTTGATCTTCTTTGAGTTGGATTTTGTGTATGGAGTGAGGTGTGGATAAAGGCAAACAACCCATTTGAAAAATGGGCACAGGATTTGAACAGGTACTTCAACAAAGAAGACATTCAGATGGTGAACAAACACATGAAAAAATGTTCAAAATTCCTATCTCTAGAGAAATGCAAATCAAAATAACTATGAGATATCATCCCACCCCAGTAAGAACAGCAAAATTTAACAGAACAGCAAACAACAAATGCTGGCAAGGTGGTGGAGAAACTGGAACCCTTATTCACTGTTGGTGGGAGTGTAAAATGGAGCAACCACAATGAATGAATGGAAATCCAAAGAAAAAGTTGCAAATAGAAATAACATTTGACCCAGCAATTCCACTACTTGGAATATACCCTAAAAAAACCAGAACTGCCACCCAAGCAGATATATACACACCCATGTTTATTGTGGCTTTGTTTACAATAGCGGAGTTGGAAACAACCCAAGTGCCCATCAACAAATGAATGGATAGAGAAGCTGTGGTATATTCACACAATGGAAGACTATGCTGCATTGCAAAGCAAAGAACTCATGAAATATTATAAAAAAAGGGTGACCCTGGAAATATCTCAGTCACAAAAGGATAAATACTGCATAATGTCACTGTAGTAAAGTGGGACTCACATTGGAGTTGTAGGGAAACTAAGAGAGGGTAAATAATATATACTGCATTGAAACAGATGAGGGAGACTACTGATTAGGAGGAATATATGATTAGGTATTATTGTCATGACAAGAATCCAGAATGAAAGCTGCATAGTAGAGTGGACTGGGGTGGAGGGTAGGGGTTGTATAACAATGACAGATTTTTATTTTTATTTTTATTTTTTAGTTGTCAAAGAGAAAAGCAAACTAGGGGAAGGGGTGGGCAGGGAGGAAAGTGTGCAACAATGAATGAATGGAAATAAGAAAAATAAAATTTTTTTAAAAACCCAAAAACCCCTCAGAGGTAGCAATTGCCACCATATTACAAATGAAGAAACTGGAACACACAGAAATTAGGCAACTCACTCAAGATCACAGAGCCAGATTTAAATCTGAGAAATCTGATTCTTGGTAGTTGTCCTGACAGCTGAAATAACATAACTTTTTCCTAGCAAGTGCTGTCAAGATCCTTATTGGTATCTTTCAGCTGTGGTGTTGGAGAAGAGTACAGAAGATCCTCAGCAAACAACAAATACTGGTGAGGTTTTGAAGAGAATTTTTATTCACTGCTGGTGGGAATGTAAAATGGAACAGCCACTGTGGAAGGTGGTCTGGCCCTTTCTCAAAACATTGGAAATAGAAATATCAATTGACCTAGCAATTCCAGTCCTGGGAATATACCCTAAGGAAACTGTAACCATGACTCAAATTAGATATATGCATACCATGTCTATTGCTGCTTTATTCACAATAGCAAAAAGATAGAAGCAACCCAAGTGGTCCCTCAACAAACAAATGGATAGATAAATTCACACAATGGAATATTACACGGCACTGAAAACCAATGAACTCATAAAACATTACACAGCATAGGTAATCCTGAATGACAGCATGCTGAGTGAAATATTTCAGTCACAATAGGACAAATATGGTACAACAGCACTATTATAAAATAGGATTGACAGGGAGTTGGGGAAGAATAGGAAAAGAGTGGATAGATAATGAACAAAGGAATATATGAGTATGTATTATATGTACAACAATCTGGAACAAGAGCTGCATTGCAAAGTGGTCTAGGGGAGGGGGGAGGGAAGAAAATATGCAACAATGAATGAATAAAAAATTTAAATAAAAAAGATCACCGAAGATCCCATGGACTGCCAAAAGAACAAACACATATGTCTTGGAGAAGGTGAAACCAGGGTGCTCTTTGTAGACAAGGATGACAAAGCTTCATTTCAGATACTGTGAGCGTGTTGCTAGGAGGGCCTATTCCTTGGAAAGAGACATCATGCTTGGAAAGGTTAAGTGTTGGCAAAAAAGAAGAAGACCCTCAACCAGATGAGTTGACACAGTAACTACAATATGTTGAACTGTGTCAGACATTGTGAGGGTGGCACAGGATAGGATAGGGTTCAGATCTGTTGTTCACAGAGTTGTAATGAGTCGTACTCAACAGCTCCTAACAACAACAAAAACATGTTGTTGAAACTGAGATATAAGGGCATTAAATAACTTACTCAAAATTACACAGATAGATAGATAGTATTAGAGTCAGATAATAAGAACCAGATGAGCTCACTCTAGACCTGGGTTCGTAACTATTTTTATTCCACACTGCTTTGTTCTTTTTAAGACCCTAATGTATTCTAATCTTGTCCTCAGCATTAGAACCATGAAGATAAAAATATATATTTTTTTCAATCTAATTTAAAAACTGAACACAATTTTTTAAACTGAACAAAAAAAAATCTTGGCATACATTTTTCAAAGAAGATACACAAATGTCCAGTAAGTGCATGCCAAGATACTCAACATCATTGGTTGTCATGGAAACACAAATTAAAACTACAATGAGGTATCACTACATACCCATCAGAATGTCTAAAATTTTAAACACTGATTACACCAATTGTTTGAGAACAACAACTGTCTGTCCTAATGGAGGGATGTAAATTATACAAATAATCGGGAAAAGATTTGATGATTTCTTATACAACTATATAGCTACTTACCCCAGAACTCAAAATTCCATATTATAACACAATTCTACACATTCTTCATGATTTAGATGAACTTCAAGACTTGACTTACCCATCTGTAGTGGTACACATTCATTAGAAATCAAAACACATATACGTAAAAAGACTTGTAGAAAAAAAGTTTATAATGGTTTTATTTAAGTGGAAGAATCCAAGTGTCTATCAATGGGGAAAATAACAAAATTGTAAGACACTAATACAATGAAAAATTGTTCTTCTAGAAAAAGAAATGAACTACTAATGTATATAATGATATGGGCAAAAAACCTCAACCAAACAAAACCCAAAAACTAAACAAGAGCATGTTGAGTAAAAAAGTATTTTACCATCTTTTTCTCTGTATATTCTCTTATATGAAGCTACAAGAGGCATAACTAAATCTATAGTGGAAAAAATAGAACAGTAACTACCTCACAGAGATAGGAGTGGGCTTAACTGGGAAAAGGCAGAAGGGACCTCTCTGGATTGGTGACAAAATTCAAGGTCTCATTAACAGTTGGTGAACAAATATTGAACTCTAGTTAATGGTACGCAAACAAATATTTGGAAGGAAGTGTAATGATGTCTACAACTTATTTCCAAATGCCTAAAAAAAAAGAACTCCAAACAAACAAACTGATGAATGTGTAGGAGGATAATTGGATAGATACTAAATAAATGAAATGCCTTAAAAATGAATGGTAAAACACATGTAATGAATAATCAGGTAGGCAGCATAAAATCTTTCCATTTTACTGCATGTTTGATACTTCTCAAAGCACTGGAAAAAATGGAATTCTGCTGAGGAGCAGTAAGGGGGGACACTAAGGAGGCCTTTCAATTCCTCTCCATTGATATTATTTCCTATTTGACTCTTTGGCAACCTTAAGAGAAAGGTGGATCTTAAAGGATTATTTCTACTTCACAGAGACATCAATCAAATTTGAGACCAGCTAAGCAACTAGTCACCACGGCAGCATGACAAAGCTCAGCAGAGGTCGACTCTGGATTCTCTTCCTGGCCCTGAATCTTATCCACAATAGCACACTGCTCTGAACACGCAGCTTAGGAATAAGTGCATCATGAGCTAGATAT